TAAATGCTCACAGAGCGAGAGGCCTCCTCAGATCGTCCGGTTTTGCCCTTCCCTCCGGCCGCGACGCGCCGCTGCGGCAGCCGCCGCCGTCGCCGCCGCCGCCGCCGCTGCCATCGCAGCATCTCCCCCCCCGCCCCCCGCTGCCGCCGCCGCAGCCGCCGCAGCCGCCGGGGTCATGCTTCCCGCTCCGGGGGGCACGCCCGCGAGCCCCTGCTGCTGGGGCGGCAGCCACTGGTACCCGCCGCCGGCCGCCATCGCCGTCGCGAACGACGCCACCGACGGCGTGCTCGCCGCCGTCGCTTCCACCGCCTCCGTCGCCACCGCCGCCACCACCCCGTTGTCAGCCCCGCCGCCGCCGGCAAATGAGATCGGGAGCGAGGCAGCGCACGGCGGAGCCGGAGCGATACTGACGCCGCCGTCCTTCATGGACGAAAACCCGGGCAGCAAACCGGCCCCCGGCACCACCACCCCGGCGCCGTTCCGCAACTGCTGCTGCTGCTGCTGCGGCGGCGGCGGCGGCGACACGTTGGCGGTGGCGGCACCGGCGGCGGCGCTGACAGCAGCATCGGCGGCAGCGGCTGCGGCTGCGGCTGCGGCTGCGGCTGCGGCAGCGTTGCTCGGTGACGGCGGGCCACCATCGTTCGTGCTGCCGTCCGGCTTCGAACCCGGCTGCTGCTGTTGCAACTGCTTCGTGTTTTCAGAGCGAGAGACAAGACGGCCCACGGCGGGGGGGGGGGGGGGTAGGGGCTCATATGAGAGAGGGATGCTGGGGTGACGAGGAATTGGGCAGGCGTGCGGTGGAATGTGCGTGGGAGGGTGAGAGATCCCAGGCGATAGCAGTCGCGTTTCGAGAGTTCACATGTGTACATGCATGCAAGCGACTGTTCGTGGCCCCAACGCCTAGCACCAACTGGGTTAATAACGTCGCGTGGCGGGGGGCACCGTAGAATATTCTTGGCGCAGCAAGCCCTGTCTCGGCCTCAGCTGTTAACTCGCTAGGCACGAACTCCTGGAAAACGCACGCGATGAGACCCCTTCCCGAATCCGAACATCATGTACCCCATCGGCTGATTCCGAGGCGACGCTGGGGGGGTGCACACCGCACCGCAGCACGCGCGCAGCACGCCGTTGTCGCCGTATGCCAACGTGTGGTCGACTCTGGCGCAACACCCAGCCGCACCATCAGGACATGTTCCAACCACTCAAAAACCTCCCGGCAGATTACAACAAAAAAAATAAAGCCATGAAGACCCCGGGCACAAAAAAACACAGTGACTCTCTCGTGAAAGAAGAACGTTAACCTTTGTGTAACGGCCGTCAGATGCTAACGACGCGAGCGATGGCAACGGATGCAACCACCCGCGGGCAAAGGCCAAACCCAACAACAACAACGGCGGTCTAAGCCCGCCTCACCTGCGAAGGGTGTCCGTGGTGAGACGGTGTTCCGGGCGGAGCAGCAGCGGCGGAAGCAGCACCAGCGTACGGCTGCGCCTGCAGGTAACTCGGACCAGCCACCCCGCCGCCGGCACCGGCGGGGAGCACGCCGGGGGCGGCGGTGGCGGCGGCGGCGGAGGCACCCGGGGCAGCGGCCGGGGGGGAAGACCCTGCCGGCAACGCGAGTGCCCCCCCTCCCGCCGCCGCAAGCACCGGCCAGAGGATCGGCGGCTGGGCGAAGTGGTTGCCCTTGATCGGTGTGGGCGGCGGGGCCACCGGCGCCGACGACGACAAGGAAGTTGTCGCGCTTGTCGTTCCGGGGGCCGACACCTTACTCGCAGCGGCGGCGGCGGCGGCGGCGGCTTTGGATGTGGTGGGCCCCGGTCTCACTACGCCTGCCGCTGCCGAGGGGGGGGGTGTCTCACCGACGGCCTGGCGTAGCGTCCCGTCGCTTGGGCTCGACACGGGTGTCGTTGATGTCAAGGGTGATGATAGCGGTAGCGGCGGTGATGGTGCAGATGGCGTCGGGGGGACGGCAAGCGCGGCCGCCCCGGTCGCCGCTGAAAAAAAAAAAGAAGAAACATAAAACAAGGGAAGAGCAAAGGTAGGGCAACGAGAACATGAAACAACTGCAGCAGCTGTGTGTGTGGGTATGCGAGATTTCTTTTGAGCTAGGAGGAAGACAACCGAGCGGTGCGGTAGGTCTGAGTGGTGCATGACATCGTCGATCACAGAGGCTGAGGTGCACTCCATTCTCTCTTCTGGAGCAGCTTCGGTCGGTGCTATTTGTCCAAGGATGAAAGCACGTCGTGTTTGATGGGCAAGGGGGCTTGAGCAACAAGCCCAGGGGGCTGCTATGAAGTAGACGCAAACCCGTTGTTCCAGGCGACGAACTGGATGGGAATCACTTAAAATGAGATGCAGATCGCTTAAGATCTACTTCTACTTTTTATGTGGGAAAGATGGTTCCCCCCAAAGCAACCAAGAGTAAAGAGGGTCTAGATGTGTACCGAATGTTGAAAGAAAGGAATAGGGAGTACTGACATGGACCAACGGATGCAGGGACAAAGCTGAAGGCTAAATGTAGGGCCGGGGACATTGGTCTTCGAACGTAGGCGAAGATTTCGCAAGGTGGAAGATGAAGACAAGTTAAATTGAAGTTGCGGAATGTCCGTTGTTTGTACAAGGAGGAGAGGGAATTGTCTTGGCTGAGCTGGCAAAAGTAGAAGGAAGATACAGGGAGATGATTGAGGCATGGAGTAGCAGGACAAGACGGTAGCTGTACCGGGACATAGGAAGTGGGTTGAAACGGCGGGAACTGATATCGATAGGATAGACAGGCTAGGGAAAGCATTTTTGAGCCACCTTTGGCAAAGTAGGAAGGAACGATTGGCCATCGGCGATCGGTCTTGTGGGAACAATGCTCCTTCCTCTCGAGGACGCGTGGTCAATGGTCTAACCGCTAAGGCACGTAAAACACAAGAGTACCCCCCCCTCCCGCCCCCCGCCCCCTTTTTTTTTTTGGGGGGGGGGGTACTAGGTAGTGAGGGAGCAACACCGCGTACATTATTCGCCGACACGTTGGAGCGAATACACCATTGTACGCTCTAATGTGCGACCCGTCTCCACAGAGGATGTGGAGCACCGCACACCAAAAAAAGCGCTACAACCCTTCCTCCCCGCAAGGCTCAACCCCTCGTATTCTTGCTAGTAACTCTGCATGACGGGGGTCCAGCGTGAGGTCTTCTGCGGCGCGTACCCGCAACACGGCCTTACATGCACGCCAACAGAAGCAGCAGTACAGTACTCGCCCTCGGGAAAGGCCGTAGACCTCAATCGGACCAGCGTGCGTACGCAGGTCGGCCGCAATGCTACTCTGTCATGTGTCTACCCGATCACGACGCAGCGGTATTGTGCACCCGTCGATACCACCACGGGCACACGCTGACATGGAGATCGTTGTATTTCTCCTACGTACAAGCACATCGACGGTAGGGACGATGGGCATGCCTACTTATGTCCCGCTTCTCCCTCGTAACATTCCTCTCACCCGCGATGGCCGCCGCCGCCTGTTTCGCCAGCCAGGAAGAAGCCGCCGCGACCGCTGTAGCGTTGTCGGCGATGTTAACCGACGGCACGGCAGAGCCAACCCCCCCGACCCCTCCCGCCGCCGTGGCAGCGACCGTCGCCGCCTGCTGCTGCTTCGCCAGCCACGCCGAAGCTGCCGCCATCGCCGTCGCGTTGTTTACGTTCGAGAGGGCTGGCGAGACAGCCGGCGACACTAAACATTACGGCAATAAAAAGTAAAAAAAAAAAAAGAAGCACGCGCGCGCGCATCAAACAAGCGAGGCACAAAGAGAGAGAGAGACGAGAGGTGGTTGTTGGGAGCGCCGAATGACAAAAAAAAAAAAAAAGGAAGACGGAAATGACGATTCGGCGTGATTACTCGTTGAATCCAACAAAGGCACAAAAAACAAAAACAATATATCAAAGGGCTTACACAGTTTCGACCCACGGGTCATTCACCGTTGTGGGACTTTGCCAATGGCCTCCCCGATCTCACCTGTCGTAGTGGTGGAGCCGCCTGTCGCCGTCGCTTGAGTAGAGGCCGCGGCAACACCAGCGGAGCTGGCGCCGTGTCCCTCGCCCTGCTGCTGCTGCTGGTAGCGGTGGGAGGGGTAGCCGAAAGGGGCGAGTCACGCGAGATGTGCGTTTGCGATAACAGACCAAACATGAAAAAGGGGGGTACAGCAGATCAACAGGGGCGTCGCGTCGCCCTACCAGGAAGAGGACAGAAGCGCCCGACGTCGCAGGAGAGAGAGAGAGCGAGAGAGAGAGAGATATAGCTCAGCCGCTAAAACAAACACGCAGCCAAAAAAAAAAGGTACAGCAGGTAGGTGAAAACAGCTACTGCCCAACGCAACAAAAAGTAAAAACGCCTTCTCCCACCCTCTTGAACTCCGTTTCAGCTCAACCAACAGCGGCAGAACAAACATGCTCGGGTAAACAACAACAACCAAAACACACACACACACTGACTCCCAAGCACAATGGTAGAGCCCCAGAAATAAATAACCGGCGTCCCAATGCTTGCCTGCGGATAAGGGACCATCGCCATCCCGGCCGACATCTGCTGCGGCGTGGGCAGCTTGTGTGTCGCCGCCCCATCCGCCCCAGCCCCCGCAGGGTACCGGAACCCGGGCAACCCAGCGGCCGACGGGGGCACCGTAGGATCGGAATCCCCCCTCCCCGACACGGCCGCCGCAGATTCCGCCGCAGGAACTGGATTGGAAACCCCCCAAGGCGTGGGGTACGTCTGCTGTTGCTGCGCGTCGGCGGCGGCGTAGGCGTAAGAGGTGGACGGTCCGCCGGGGGGTGGCGTGGTGGCGGCCGACCCCGGGGGGGGGAGCGGCACCAAGGCGTAGGGCTGCTGCTGGAGAGTGTGCTGGACGGCAGCAGTGGCAGGAGCTGCTGCGGCCGCGGCGGCCACAGCAATAGCAGCAGCAGCAGCAGCAGAGGCCGCGGTAGAAGCAGCGGAGGTGGAAGTCTTGTCCCCAGAGGCTGGTTGCGGGCTTGACTGGCGGTGCTGCTGCTGCTGCTGCTGCTGCTGCTGCTGCTGCTGCTGCTGCTGCTGGTACTGCTGCGCCTGCTGCTGCTGGGCGTGAAGCTGCTGCTGGTACTGCATCTGCTGCATCTGCTGCGACACCTGCTGCAGCTGCTGCTGGGCGTGCTGGAGCTGCTGGTGCTGGTGCTGAAGCTGCTGGTCGTTCTGCGCGCCTCCCGCCAGCTGCTGCTGCTGCTGCTGCTGCTGAAGCAGCAAGAGCTGCGCCTGCTGCCTGTGGACGCTCTGCAGGAGCTGGTGGTGCAGAGCCTGCGAGCGCAGCGACGATTGCCGAGGGACCGTTATGGGAAGTGACGTGAGGGTCATCGATCGCACTCAACTAGACCGCGCGAAGGCGGCGTGATCCAAAACGAAGGGTAGAGACATAACTCATTTCCAAAACCTGCGTAAATATGGTATAAGACAGCCGCTGAGAGAAAGTATGGGTTTCCGAGGATCAAAAGCGAAGATGGCCGCATCCTCATACACCCTGTTGTGAGGTTTCATCATCGTCAACCATCGTCGACGCACGTACTTCTCGTCCCACCTGGTGCCGGCTCTGCAGTTCCACGCGCTGCTTCTCCAGCCGGTTGTGCAGCTCCTGCTGCGCCCTCTGCTGCCGTTCCAGCTGCTGCTGCTGCGTCTCCGGTTGCTGTTGAGGCTGTGGCTGCTGCTGTTGCGGGGGGCGCGACGGAGACTTCATCTCCCCGGCACCAGGCGGAGCCCCGGAAGCCATCTGGAGGGTCTGCTGCATCTGCTGCATCCGCTGGTGGTGCGGGAGGGTTTGCTGGTCTTGGTCCTGCTGCCCCTGCTGCTGTTGCGGCTGCCCCTGCTGCTGCTGCTGCTGCTGCAACGGCTGCGGCTGCTGCGGCGGTTGCTTTTGTTGCTGTGGCGGCTGCTGCGGCGGTTGCTGTTGCTGCGGCGGTTGCTGTTGCTGCGGCTGCGGCGGCGGTTGCTGTTGCTGCTGCTGCGGCGGCGGCGGTTGCTGTTGCTGCGGCTGCTGCGCCGGTTGCTGTTGCTGCTGCGGCGGCGGCGGCGGTTGCTGTTGCTGCTGCTGCTGCTGCTGCAACGGCGGCGGCTGCGATTGCGGCTGCGCCTGTGACGGCTGCGAATGCGCCTGTGGCGGCTGCGG